GTTATGAAATCCTGATCTCTCTGAAACATCATTATAGATAGCGTGTATTAAGGTTACAGAAGGCATACAGCCTTGCTAATTTCTGTTTTGGAGACTGGATTATCAAAGGGAGAAGTGTCTTTTTTTTTTTTTTTTGTCTTTTTTGAGACAGCGTCTCACTATGCAGTTCAGGCTGGCCTTGCGCTCACTTGTAGCCCAGGCTACAAACTCGAACTTGCAAAGATCCTCCTGCCTCAGCCTCCCAAGTGCTGGGATTATAGGCGTGCACCACCATGCCCAGCAGGAGAGAAGTGTCTTTATGCCTACCACCAATTGGTTCAATTTAAAATTTCCCCATTTGTTGAGCTTGCTGGATATAGTTAGGTTTAAGAGGGCTTAGCCAGGCGTGGTGGCACATGCCTGCAATCCCAGCACTCGGGAGGCTGAGGCAGGAGGATCGTTGTGAGTTCGAGACCAACCTGAACTGCATAGTGAGATCCTATCTCCAAAAACACACACATACACACACAAAAAAGAAACAGGACCAAGATACCATGTTGAGTTCTTTTACTAGTAATCAAAATGTGCTGCAGTAATTATGTCTTTGTTTGCCTAATGTCCTTCTAACTTGATCCATTGTTGTATGCTATTCTTAGCAAATCTGAACTAGGGTCGATGGAATTTTATTGGACTTTACTTTTTTTGCTTTTTTTTTTTTTTTTTTTTTTGAGATGGGAGGATTGCCTCAAGTTCAAGTCCAGCCTGAACTACATAGTGAGACTATGGCTCAAAAAAAGAGAGAGAGAGAAAAGAGTTCTAAAATCACCCAACTTCTCACTGCAGATGCCAACCTGAGCCCAACTAAAAACTTAGTCCTTCCCAAGACATACCAGGTTCCACAGACACCAACAGAAGCACAGCTACATGAGTGTTCACAAGTAGATTATTTTGGCATTTTAATTAGAAGAATTTTAATCGTTATTTTATTCTGTTTGATCTGTGTTTTTGAGACAGGGTTTCAGCATGCAGTTCAGGTTAGTCTTCAGCTCACTTTGTAGCCCAGGCTGGCCTCAAATGCAGTGATCCTCCTGTCTCAGCCTCCCAAGTGTTGGGATTACACTGTCACCACCATGTCCAGCCTAATTGCAATTTTAGAAAGCTAGTGGGCATGTATAGCAAGGTTACTGCCAGCTATTGAGTTTGGGGTTTTGTTGGGAAGTGGCAACTATTATCAAATAGAAAAGCACCAAGGGCCGACAGTGGGCAGTAAGATGAAATTAAACAAATCTATATTTTTAAAAAGATTCAAATGTAAACTTGGAAGGCTATGTTATCCAAGGGGAACATGTTTGCAGCTCCAGGGAGGTGGAAGAGGGCCCAGAAGTCTTTGTGTAGGATCAAGACTCTGGTCTGGCCCTTTCTAAAGCAGCCCTCTCTCAGTCATGGTTTCTCTTTTTTTTCTTTGGGGACAGGGTCTCACTATGCAGTTTAGGCTGGTCTTGAACCCACTTTGTAGCCGAGGCTGGCCTCAAACTCACAATGATCCTCCTGCCTCAGCCTCCCGAGTGCTGGGTTTATAGGCGTGTGCCACCACGCCTGGCCAGACAGTTTCTGTTCTGAAAACAGAGGCTGAAAGTCAAAGGCCTCCAGGCCCCTCTGGATCTGAGCCTCCTGCTCTGCAGTGGAATCCAAACTGGGGGCTCAGGGCCCAGACACCTCCCTGTCACGTTTCATTTGGTCTGCAAGGAGTCTTGGGGTTTTTGTTTTGACTGAACCAAATGCCTTTGAATAGGCCTTAGTTTGCTGCTGTCCCTGCCACCCTCATAGCCTTGCTTCAGCTGCCCCGTTCTGCTGTCCCCTGCTCAGCCCTGGGGGACTTGGCCTCTGGCTCCTGCACAAGAGGCTCAATCAACTTCCCAGCAGTGGGTGGGAAGAGTCCCTCCCTGGAGAACCATCTTCTTAGGCTTTCTTCAAGATGTGGATTTAAAAAGTAATTAGATTAGAGCCAGGTATAATGGCACAGGCCTGTTATTCCAGCACAGAGTCTGAGGCAGAAAGATCTTTAGTTTGAGGCCAGCTTGGCCTATTATATAGGCAATTCAAGGCCAGCCTAGACTGCAGTGAGTTTCTCAAAAAAAGTGGAGGGAAGGGAGATATAGTTTAGAAATCTGGTTTTGTTGTTGTTGTTTGTTTGTTTGTTTGTTTGGTATTTGAGACAGAGTCTTGCCATGTAGCTCAGACTAACCTTGAACTCATGGCATTCCTCCCACCTCAGCCTCTTTGAGTGCTGGGATTACAGATGTGTGCCACCATACCCGACTAGAAATCATTTTTAAAGACAATGAGTCAAAGAAAAGAAAGAAAAAAAAATACAGTCCGTGGAAAGTATACAACATTTAAATTGTTCTATTTCATTATATGTGAGTTCTGAGGGTATAGTAAATATTTTGCGAGGGAAGCCTATTGAATATTAGGTGGTGTTGTATTTCTTTACATGTCTGTTTTTTGTAGTTTCTTTAGTAATTGAAGCTGCAGCTCCATTACTGCACAGGATTTAAATAATTTCAATTTATTCCTTCCCCTGACTGAGATTACTTGGTTTAAGTGACTAAGCACACTGCTTTTAGTGCCTTATTTAGTTTTGTGATTTGGGCTTCCTTGTGTAGACATTCCTTAAAGAGCCTGACCAGTGGGCCAAGTTAAGAATAGTAAACAGGATTAGTCCTGGAACTAGTCTAGATCACAGAGGTAATTGTAGTAGGGGCATTAGATGAGTTAATTGTAGTCGTGTTTCCCTTTTTCTGGACTTTAATAAGTAGTGTCCAAGTTCAGAAGAGATCTTAGAATAGGGGTGTGCTAAACTGAACTGGACCTACAAACAGCTGGGTGATTGCTGAAGCCGTGCACTGGTGCAGTGATGCTCTGAATTGCTTTTCCCTGTGCTTCGTTTTACATGATGCTGGGCTTCTCTACAGATTGAACTCAGGGCCTTCACATTGAACTGCATCCTCTGTCTGGTTTTTGGTTTTTTTGTTTGTTTGTTTTTGAGACAAGCTCATGCTCAGTCACCAAATTGCCCAGACTTGGGTTAAGTTTGAGATCCTCCTACCTCAGCCTTTCAGAGTGTTGGGATTACAGGTGAGCACCACAACCCCAGCTTCAACTGTTATTTTCACATGAAAGTTGAGGGGCCTCTTCCCCCTACTGGCATGCGTGAAGTGGATGGAAAAGAAAGCTTTGTTCGATTCTCTTCCTAGAATCTAGGATGGTAAATGCATGATTGCAGGGACAGAGACTGAATGAATCTCCCAGTGGGAGGCCAGTTGCAGAGCACAGCTCTCACACTGCTCTTCCAGACTCTGCCTTTGATCTTTTCAGTTTTAGGGGAGTAGATTTTCTCAGTGTTTGCCTCTTTTTCTTAGAAATGGTACCCAGTGGTGTGAATATAATCATCTAATCAAAGGTTCTTCGATTTTATTTTTTTCCCAGTACCGGGAATCGAATTCACGACCTTGTGCTTGCCAGGCAGGCGCTATGCTGCTGAGCTAAATCCCCAGCCCCAAAGGTTCTTCTTTGAGACCTTGGTGCAACTTAAATGTTTCTTGTTGGGCTGGGTTTCTAGTTAGTACCAACTAGCATGCCTTGGTAACTTTTGGATACACTTAAGATTTTTTTATTTTTTGGCACAGGATCTCACTTTGCTGGCCTTAAACTCACTGTGTAGCCCAGGTTGGCCTTGAATTCTCCTTGATCCTCCTGCCTCAGCCTCCTGAGTGCTGGGATTACAGATTAGCACTACCATGCCTGGCTTATACTAAGGTCTTAATAACTTACATGCTTTTACTTTGGGTTGCTTTAAGACTAGTCCAAGACCGTACTACTAAATTCCTCTTGGCTGTACTTTGGAATTCATAAAAATGGTGTTGCTCTGGTCACATTGGTCTTTATATGTGGTTACTTCATGGCATTAAGATTGTTTTCACAGCTATTGTCATTGTGTTTCATATAAAGATTTGTGCATTGTACTTCAGGTTTCATTTGGAAACAAAAAAGAGGATAGGAGGACAGAGGACATCCCTTAGCACATCTTTGGCCCGCCCTGTAGGGGGAGGATGTGGATTTAGGTTATATAGCTGTACTGCAATTTCACTCAGTGACCATCCTTACTTTGATTTTTTTGTGCTCTTGCTAAAATTGTACTCTCACACATAATGACATCATTGTGAATTTGCTTAGTCAGAAGTAGCATTTTTATAGTTCTTCTCTGGGCCTTTAAAGGATAATGGGATATTGACCAACCTAAAGACCAAAAGCTAATTATAGTAGTTGGTGCCTGGTAATAAAGTTGCTGAATGGGTAGAATATTTGAAGTTTTTTTGTTTGTTTGAGACAGGGTAGTCTTGGCTGGCTTTGAACTCGCAGCAGTCCTCCTGCCTCAGCTTCCTGAGTTCTGGAATTATAGGCATGCTACACTGCACCCAGCTTGAGTTTTTAAAAATGTGGCTTATAAGCTGGACATGACGATGCACACTTGCAATCCCAGCTACTCAGGAAACTAGGGCAAAAGGGTTCCAAGTATGAGGCCACCTAGGCAACATAGCAGACTATGTTTCAAAATAAAAAATAAAACATCCAGAGATGTAGCTCAGTGGTAGATTTGCTTTCCTAGCATGGGTAAGACTCTAGATTCAGCCCCCAGTACTACCCATTCCCCAAAAAAAGGAGGAAGAAAAAAAGGAAATGGAAATATAGGCAGTGGCTGACCATAGGAGTAGCCAGTCATGGGAGTGCACATCTGTAATCCCTGCGCTCAACAGGCTGAGGCAGGAGGGTCACCATGAGTTCAGGGCTAGCCTGGACCACATGGAGCGTTCAAGGCCAGCCTGAACTACAGAGCAAAACCCTGTTTCAAAAAACCTAAAAAAAGAAAATAATTAAATAAATAAATAAAATTTAGAGAAACAGTGTTGGAGTGGCCTCAGAATTAAACCAGAGGCGCTCATTTATTGTTTTCTTCCTAGGTGCGTGCTATTATGATGCTAATCAGTCTATGTATGTGTTCGGAGGTTGTACCCAGAGCAGCTGTAATGCTGCCTTCAATGACCTCTGGAGACTTGACCTCAACAGCAAAGAGTGGATTCGACCCTTGGCTTCAGGTAAGAGATGAGATGCTGATTTTTGTCTTTTTACCAGGTAACTCTGCATGGAAACCATCTGGCTCTCTTTGGTGTTGATTTCAAGGATAGATCTGTTGACAAATCTGTATAAATGTTAAGAGTAATATGCTTATCTAAGTCTTTAAATTTTTTTTAAATACATTTTATTATTAGTATTGGTGTCCTGCCAAAATTGCTTTACTGCCATGTGAATTTATTTGCATGGTTTTCTCAAGTACTTGCACAGATGTGCTGTGCTGTTCGGTAGGAGGTTGAAGTAGGAGCAAAACCAGAGTTGTGAGAACAGTTGACTGACAGAAGCCACTGTCCCTGTGCTGAGGGCTCTGCATATCTTTTGTTCTTGCCAGCTCAGATATTTGGGAGTGTATGGGACAAGCCTCTGCTGGTTACTCTTAACAGCTCAATAGTGTGGGAAGATTTCACAGTAGGTACATTCCTGCACAGTCCCTGCCAGAATTCTGGTAGGAAAAATACTATATTATTTTCTTCTTTTTGAGTCAGCCTTATTGGGGGTAGAAGATGTTGTTTTGCACAAACAGACAGGACAGTCTGAAGCATCAGATAAGACCAGAGGGATGCTGGGCATGGTGGCGCATGCCTGTAATCCCAGCACACGGGAGGCTGAGGTGGGAGGCTGAGTCAGGAGGATTGCTGTGAGTCTGAGGCCAGCCTGGGCTACACAGTCAGTTCAGGGCCTGTCTGAACTGTATAGCAAGACCTTGTCTCAAAAAAAAAAAAAAAAAAAAAAAAAAAAAAAGACCAGAGGGGCTGGTATGATAGAGAAATAGGGTCCTTTGAGTATAAAGTATTCTGGTAAACATGCTAGCAAGCTTTTCCCTAAACATTCTTTATTTGGCTTGTCAAGGTTGGAACTCAGGTGGACGTGTTGACACACACCTGTAATCCCAGCCCTTGGGAGGCTGAGGCAGGAGGATCATTGTGAGTTTGAGACTAGCCTGGGCTACATAGTGAGCTCAAGACCAATCTGAACTGCACAGTGAGACCCTGTCTCAAAAAGACAAAAAATAAAAATAAACGAAGGTTGGAATTCAGTCTTAGGACTAAGGAGACTTGGATTTTCCTTGGGCAGTTTCCTTATTTGTTTAAGTCTTGCCTTACTTTCATTACTAGAATAGAGGCAACGTGGGCTTTTAGAAAGGGTGCTGTACTGAGGGAGAAAACATGAGCTTCATTTCCTAGAATAAGCACCAATTCTCTGTGTAACCATGCACAAGTTATTGCCCCTTTCAGAGAAATGTGGACTAAATGATTCTGTTTTTAATTGGCCTGGGAAGGCTGGTGTATGTTTCCCTATGTTTGTGTAACCACTGCAGTGAATATATAGGCCAGCGTCTTAAACCTGGCTATGAGGAGAAGTTGCATTTTGCCTCCCCAGAACTGAGAACAACTGTTTTACTTCCTGCATTGGGCAAGTAGAGGAGGATCCAGATAATATTCATGGGCTGGACTAGGTTTTGGGCGTCACAAAGTCTGTATGAAAATTATTGAGGTGGAGCCAGGCATAATGGTGTATGCCTGTAATCCCAGTACTTGGGAAGCCGAGGCAGGAGGATTCCCATGAGTTCAAGGCCAGCCTGAAGTACATACTATGATACCCTCTCAAAAACCCAACCAACCAACCAACCAACCAACCAACCAACCAAATTAGAATAGAGTAGAATAGAATAGAATAAAAATACTTGAGGGCTGGGGGTATGGCTCGGTGGTAGAGTGCCTGCCTACTATGTGCAAGACCCCAGATTCAACCCTCAGCAATGCAATAAATAAATAAATAGTAAAATTATTGAAAAGATGAGGAAATGATGATCTTTCCAGAAGCTTTGGCGGTTAGTATTATGGTATTTTAGGGCCCTTAGAATTTTGTTCTTCAAAGGTCTCTTTTTGTAGTCCATTGTCCTCTGTTGCACTTAGTGAAATAGTAGTAAAGATTTGGAGTCACAAGTCCTGAAATATACAAGGTCTTCTCAGCGTAAGCATCATGTTGTCACTGCGCTTGATGTTTTGTCAAGACCCCATTTCAATGCATCTTTGATCGGTCCAGTTATAAAATTCTGTCTTTATTTTATAACCAAGCCTTATGCCTTTCATAATTTGATGTGGGTGTTGTTCTTTCTTGTGGAAATGGAGCTTGCTCTAGGCTTTGAGACCTTCATGTCTGTTACCACCTGCATTAGTTATTTCTTCCTGTAAGTTAGACATGCAAATTTTTTTCCCTGAGGTGCTGTGCATTGAACCTAAGACCCCATGCATGCTAGGCAAGTGCTTTACCACTGAGCAGTATCCCCAGCTTGGGACTTTTTTTTAAACTACTGGGTATACAGAGTTGTTTTTCTTTTGGATTGTTTTTTGTTGTTGTTGTTTGGTGGTGCTGAGGATCAAACCCAGGGCCTGTGCATGCAAGGCAAGAGCTCTACCACTGAACCACATCCCCAGCCCCAGGCTGTGTTTTATTTTATTATTATTATTTTTTTTTTTTTTGGTTTTTCTCCGGTACCGGGAACTGAACTCACGACCTTGCGCATGCCAGGCAGGCGCTTTTGCCGCTGAGCTAAATCCCCAGCCCCTCCAGGCTGTGTTTTAAAATCCCTAAGATAGAAGTGTTGGAGAAGTAACTGGTTTGGAATGCAGGTCCTATGTACATTCTGAGGTTTTAAAAAATAGGACATTTAGAATGTTCCCTTTTTATTTATTTATTTTTTAATTTTAAAAAATTTTTATTAGGGTGTGAAACAGGATCTCATTATGTAGTTCAGGCTGATCTTGAACTCACTGTGTATCCCAGGCTAGCCTCGAGCTCATAGTGATTCTCCCGCCTCAGCCTCCCAGATGCTGGGATTATAGTTGTGCACCACTACACATGATTGAAGAATGTTCCCTTTTTAATTACAGTGGGTTTTTTTTGGTACCAGGAATTGACTCATGACCTCAGGCTTGCCAGACAAGCTCTTATGCCTCTGAGCTATATCCCTCCTGAATGTTTAAGTCAGTTTCTTTTTTTTTTTTTTTTGTCTTTTTGAGACGGTCTTGCCATACAGTTCAGGCTGGCTGTGAGCTCACTCTGTAGGCCAGGCTGGTCTCGACCTTGCAGTTATCCTCCTGCCTCAGCCTCCCGAGTGCTGGGATTACAGGTGTGCACCATTACACCTGGCAAAGTCAGTTTCTTTCTTTCCTTTTTTTTTGGTACCGGGTATTGAATTCAGGACCTTGAGCTTGCCAGGCAGGTGCTTGGAGCTGAGCTACATCCCCAGTCCCTAAGTCAGTTTCTAACATATTTCAAAGAATCTAGTTGATACCTTAACCTGATTTACAGTTAGAACCTAGTTTTAGAGGTTGAAAAACTGAGCTTTTTGAAATGCCTAAAAATAAAAAACAGTGGTTTAATGAAGAGTCCTATGAGATCATGTAGGCAGAAATCCCGTGGGAAGATTCCCTGAGGGAATATTTCTGTGAGCTGTCATGAGTTCCAGCCAGAATCACTTCCTAACTGGAATGTTAGTGAGTTTTTCTGAACAAAACGTGCTTGTCTGTGTGTCTTTGTGTCCATGACTCACCCATTCTGTGCATGGAGGTAGGGAGGTTGGAGGGTGGCTGAGGGCCCGGTGCTACCTTTCCATTTGGTGCCAGGCATGAGGTGGTCTCATCTTGTGCAAGTGGTGCTCCTGTCAGTCTTCAGAAGTGTAGCTGTTGGAGAAGTAAGAGCATCAGAAAAGCAGTGGGGCACCTTGGTTGGGAGCAGAGTCCTAAGAGAGTTCTGCGTCAGACATTTGCAACAGGGCTGTAATTCTCGTGTCTTGCTGCTGGGCAGCTCTGAACTATGGTGGTACATGCGTGGCTGTCCTGCTGGGTGGCATGGGTTGGTCCCATCGGGTAGTACAAGCCACCCAATGGGACAGTCGTGCATGTACCACCACTGGTTCAGGCTGGCAGGAGCATGTTAAAATGTGTATTTGGTTATATCATAAAGGAATCTGGAGCATTCTTATCTTGATTGGTATCTTACTTTCTTATACCCAACATTCACAACTCTTAAGGAAGAGAGGTTTATTTTGGTTTGTTGCAGTTTCCTTCCATAGTCAGCCTGCTCCAAGGCAGGGTGGTATGGCAGAGGAGGAGCTCATGGTGTGGTAGGGGGAGACAGAGAGAGATTAAGGAGGGAAGGAAGGAGGGAGGGACGGAGGCCGTTTCAGGGCCACGCCCCCACAGACCCACCTCCTCCAACCAGGCTTCACCTCCCAACATCACATTTAGCTGTGAACTCACCAGTGCACTGGTGCATCCATGAGTGGCCCCTTTGGTCTCAGAACCTCGTGTATTATTCCAGGCCATTCAGGCTCATAGGCTTAGGTTTGCTTACTCACCACTGACCAAACGAGAGGAGGCCATATATTTTGGTCAAAAGGAAAAAAAAGCATTATTTAAAGCGAGCCCTGAGGAGGGTCCTATTTGCCTCAAATCGTCATCTCACCTGTACAGGTGGGCAAGGGTCTTTGATAGTGGGGAGGAGCAGAAAGACACTGTACATCTCTACAGCCTCTTTAGCGCTTCCAGCATCTTCCTTTTTGTGATGCAAAGGAAACCAGGCTCCAGCCTCATGGGCCTGACGACACCTGCATTTCTGTCACTTCCTGTGGACTGAAGGGAGGATGGGGTTCTGGTCATGAGCTCAGCAGGAGGAAAGTTTGGAGAAGTATTTATCTCTGTAAGATAAAATCTAACATGTGAAGTTACATTTCACAGGCCTTGGGGGACATCTAGTTATAAACCGTAAGAATTCGTATCTTAGCTCAGGCTGCCATAGCAGAATATGATAGATTAGATCATTGAAGCAACAGAAATCTATTTTTTGCAATTCTGGGCCTTGCCTTCTTGGCTGGAAATCTAAGGGCAGGCTCTGGTGAGGAGTGATAGCAGTACCCCATCTGGAGCAGGGTTGTGGTGAGCGTTGGGATGACAGATCT